AGACCTTTACACTCCAAACAAGTTAGGTATGGATTAGGTAGTCTAGAGAGGGAAAACTTTCAGCAGGTCCTTGTAATATTTCTCAACCACGGGACCCCGCTCCTTCTCCCTTTCCTCTTCATCCTACCTTCTTTTCCTTCTTTCTTCTCTCCCTCCCCTCTACCTTTTCTTTCTCTCTTCATATGCTGGACCAATGAGATGAGAAAATAGATGCGATGAGAAAATACCTTTGGACCCATCAGGTTTGGTTGACAGAAGCCCTGTTAGCTCCTTCGCACTATTCACCCTTCACTGCCCCAATCTTCCAGAAAACAGGCCAGTTTTTGACCGACTTTTTTCTGCTTGGCAGAATTGGCTGAAAATTTGTTCCCTAAGGTAGTTTGACCTCCTGAACATGAATATCACATCCGCTCGGCACGAAACCTTGGCGCTACAGGCGCTGGCGCCAAAATACCCCAAACCACCGGCGCCTGTGGCGCGGGCGCCAGGAAGTTTCGGGCTAAGCGAATGTGATATTCGTATTCAGGAGGTCAAACTACCCCAGGAGACAACATTTGAGCCAAATCTGTCCACGGAGAAAAAAGTCGGTCAAAAACTGGCTCAATTCTGGATGGTTGGGAGAGTAAAGGGTAAATAGTGCCTCGTCCTTGTATGGTCAGGCTTGGGATTTCGTAGAAACGGTTCCGAACCATGTGAGTGGTAACTCCGCCACTTGCCACTGCACTACCCCATTTGTAAAGTTACAAACTTGTTTCGAGAGAAGTGAAGATGCTGCTGAGCACCCTATTGTCATCGGAATCATTGTTGTGACACAAGTGGTGATCTCTAATCTCCTAATCGGAGGCGTTGACAGCCCTTTTCCGTGGTGTTGACAGATATGTTGTGCCCACGTGTGTTTTCAGTGGGTGGGTGGTGACGAATGTGAGTTTTTCGACCAACGTCAACAACGTACTAGTAATTGGGATTTATTAATGACCCAGTACATGTCGTCACTATGAAATAGGTCACAAATACAACTGGTAGGTACATTCAAAAAGGGTAAAAGGATAAAGTCTTTGCCGTTAATCCATCCCTTTGTGAAATGCGACACGCATACTACTTCCATTCGAAATAGTAGAGGTTTATTGAATGCGATAATAAACCAGATACGGACTGGGCCTGGCGGCATCTCCGATCCCACTTAAAAGGCATGTCAACTCACGCATGCCCGCTGTCAGACGACATTCCGGTGAAAGACACCAGGGCGTGTTGTACGACGGAGATCCGTAACAAAGGGTTATCTTCGATGGGCGATAAATGAGGGGGGCTTCATTTGTTTTGAAGATGATTTTCGGTTGTGCACTTCGCTGACTTTTCTCAGTTTCACCTTTTTCAAGTGCGCTATATCTCTAAGCTACTCTCGCACCCCCGTCACCCACCGCCGACCCTATCGTTCGACGGTTTTTCCTTTGGGAGGAAACTGAAAGATAAGGCTGGGGTCGAACTGGTGTTCGAAGCCCGGACCGCGCGAGTGCGTGAGCGCGCCAAAGTGCGCCACCTGTCAATACACTACCTCCGCCTCAGGTACATTGAAATGGACGAAATTTAAAGATGTCTTCTGAGAAGGGGCAGGAATCCGTCAACATCCATGTACCTCATTCTGTGCACGTTGCACGTTTTGCTTCCATATGAAGTCGCTTGAGACCGGGTCACTTCCTGCCGCTGAGAAAAATTTTCTACAAAATACGTCTCCTTCCTTTGTATTTCCCTCCATTAGAATCCCTCTCCTCCCCCACGCCTTCCCTCATCTTGCCTACCGTGAACCATGTTCGATATTCCTGAGTTTTCCCTGCTTCCTATCAGTTTTCCGGGATATTATTCCGAGAAGTCCTCTACTTTTTCCTAGAAAATTGCCGTCTCGTTGAGCGGAATAGATGGGGGAAGCAAGAACAGGTGCATAGCGCCTTGACGGGAAAAGCTGAGAGAAAATCAACCAAAACATTTTTCTCTGAGGCAACTACCAAATACGACCCTCTCATTGGTGATCTTCTAAGTACGACGCGCCCTGTTATAAGAGCAAAGTCCGGGCCATTTCCAGTGCAGCCACTCCTCCTTTCCATTCGAGAAACGACGGAGCGTAGCAGTGCGGATGCCGCAACAATGGGCCTGACCCCCCCCCGCCCATAGCGTCTGCAAAGACTGTGCCCTTCAAATATATAAGGCATGCAGAGGGCAATAGGCATAGACGCTGTACTCATTCTACCAAGTGGCAGCTGCTGAAACCAGAAGCCCTGAGTTTCATGAGCCCGATTTTCAGATCATGCGCCAACAGCTACTGCCCCATTTTCATCCTGTGCCGCTGCTTCTAACGATTTCATTAAATGCAGCGAAAGATCGAATTCGCACTTAATCAGCGGATTGGCTAATTTCAATTACCTTCGCGCTCGGCATAGAAAGGAGCTTTGAAGGCCCGAGAATCAGCAGAAAAGAACCTGCCAGGACACAAAACTCTCCTGAAGACAATTTCCACCATCAACTGGTACGGGCAAAGGGTACTCAATCATGAACCAATGGCCTACAAAAAACCTCCAGTGGAGAAAGAAGCAAAAAAACTGGAAGAAAGAAAAAAACAGAAAGAAACACAAAGAACAGAAGTCTCCTCACCACCTCCACCAGTGTGACTACGCCCTTGCCGAGTTTGTCGGACGTCGGCTACCCAAATCAAGCAAGGACTCGAAGCGTTCAGCGCAATTCCCTGAAAATCAACTAACGACGCTCCAGGCAACGCTATATACACACGCGATTCCGCTTGTGAACCGTTATCTTGCAGTGTGAAAGTAATCGCGGTTGCAGTGGTTGAGTAATCGCGTGTTTTTTTTTTTTTTTTTTTTTTTTTTTTTTTTTTTTTTTTTTTTTTTTTTTTTTTTTTTTTTTTTTTTTTTTTTTTTTTTCTCACCTTTTACTCCCAAAGTGATGTATTTCCTGCGAATGCCCGACTCAAATGCCTAATGCTTGCAGGCAATTCGCGGATCACTTGATCGAGGGAACTGTCCTTGAGAGAGAAGCCTCCAAAATCCTCATGTGAAAGCCTGAAGGCACCGCAGTGGGTTGAAGAGCTGCAATAGACCGCCGGAGATCGATTCTCTCAAATCAACCAAATTCTTTCACCTCTTCAAGGCTGGCAGCAAATACTTAATGTTAGGCACGGTTATGACTGAAGTCTGTTTTGTGCATTACTTCTGTGTATACTTGTTTATTTGAGGCGGAGGTGGTGTAGTGACAAGTGGCGCGCTCACCATTCGCGCGGTCCTGGGTTCGAATCCTAGGTCGACACCCGCCCAGGCCAACCAAGCCTTCACCGGAAGACCGTATAGGAGGATAATAACACTGACTTGTACATTGGCTGGCCCCTCGCAAGTCATTGTATAGGCCACATCGCATTCAGTAAGCCACTACGATTCTGAATGGAAGTAGAATGCGTGCCGCATCCCACAGAGGGATTGATTAACGGCGAAGACTTTATCCTTTTATCCTTTTATACTTGTTTATTTATGTACTCACTTGCTTTTTTAGTTGCTTCCTCATTTATTTATCCATTTATAAGCTTCTCACGCCCACAAAAAGCCCCAATTTAGGGCACCTGGCTGAAGGATGTGTTGTCCTGTTCACTGCGATTGAAAGGGCGTGTCAAAAGAGTTGGGTTTTGCGCAACGCCAAGCTGTTTCCAGCCAGTTGATGAAGCGAGCAAGCGGACTCTATCGCATAGTTCGCATCAGTTGTCTCCCAGAAACTGTTGTCGCTTCCCGCTTAACAAGTAGTGGTGAACGAGCTGGCGACGCTCCAAAGCCAGCCTCACTGATACGCCCCTTCATCCGAACCGAATAAGGCTGTGTGTCAACTACGAAATCCCTGTTTCCCTGTTTGATCAATCCATGCATGCATTCAGGATTGGAAAAGGCACAGTTCGACTTGGTGGGGCAGCGAATGGTGCTCAGCGAACCCTGAACAAGCTACCTTGGACAAACCTGTAGATTCCTGTAACTAGAGTGGCTCGCGTTTCCCGCTTCGCAGCTCCACGTGGGTTATCAGGGCTTACCAAAGTGAAACTTGTTGATTATCATGACCTAGCAAAAGGAAGTAGCGAAAGTGCGAAATGTCCCCCCCCCCTTAACCCTAAGCCGAGGAGCGCTTAGAACTGTTAGCGTCTCAGAAGTGTTCAAAATTCTGACATTAGCTCTAGGAACTTCTAAGCTTTTGTTATGTTCGCTATGAGAATGCGCCTCCAGCCAGGAAGAGAGCATGTATTTTGTTGGGGATCCCCTACGGGGCTTAGGAGGATCGCACCTGATCGCTGGAATGGGGGGGGGTCGTACCAGAAGAGTGTTTTTCAAGAGGGAGGTCGTATTTTGCAGAAGGCTTCTTCAACCCATCATATGTCTTGATTAGGAAACACAGTCGGATTCGCGGCGCATTCTTGAAGGGACTCGTCAACCCCGAGCGGTTAGGCTTTTGAAGAGGACAGATAAAGTTTGCGGGGTAAGCATGGCCTTTGTTGTCGAAGTGTCGACCCTGATCATTTCCGCAATCCCCCTCAGACTTGGAAAGTTCAGGAAGTGAGCCTTTACACTTCCTTGTAGGGTAATTGCTTCCGAACCCTCAAGAGTGACGATCATGGAGATTAGAGGGTTGTGGTAGTGTCAGAGAGATGAGATTTTTTGCACGGGATAGAAGAGTGGGGTCGATGAGCTGTTGGGACGTCGTCGCGTATGTATG